CTAACAACCTCCAGCTACGCACACTATACAGATCAACGACCCCACACAACGATAACGTTCAGCAACGGTAAAAAGTTAAGAGCACTAATAGACACAGGAGCCCAAAATTCGTTTATAGGACAAAAAGGTAAAAAAATATTGGAACAATGTGGAACAAAAAGCGACAAAAAAGCTTTAAAGATCACGCTGGCAGATGGAAAAACCAGCAACATAGAAATCTGTTTTACAGCAAAATGTTCCATAGACAACGTTTGGAGAAAAGCCAAACTAAATTTTTTACCAAACCTAGCTTCAGAAGTAGTACTGGGAATGCATGAAATAACAAGATGGGGCCTTGATTTATCAAACATCTTAAATAGAAATCGCGTAAGAAGGAGAGAACAATACCAAACCAGGACAGAACACAGATCCAGATCGTACAATGCAGACAATAACCGACTACCGACCGATACCGCGGTCGAAGACCAGACCGAAAATATACCGACTACCGACCGATACCGCGGTCGACAACCAGACCGAAGATATACCGAACTACCGACCGATACCGCGGCCGACGACCAGATCGAAGATATTCCGTCATACATACCGGAATTCACGAACAGTCCGAAACGAGAGCAACTCGACATCAGTACTACACTAAACAATACCGAAAAAAAAAACAATTACAGGAATTGTTACTAACAGAATTGGAGAAATTTAAACAAATTAAAGGAACAACACATCTAACCGAACATACAATAAAACTCAAACATAATACACCGATCAAACAAAGATACAGGCCCCGAAACCCGGCAATGCAGAAGATCATAAACGATGAAATAGATAAGATGCTAGAAGAGAACGTGATAGAAAAATCTAATAGCCCGTACAGTTCCCCCATCGTCCTAGTAAAAAAGAAGGATAACAACGGATACAGATTTTGCATCGATTTTAGGAAAATCAACGACATCTCAGAAAAAGATGCCTACCCATTACCTTACATCAATCATATCCTAGAAAAGTTAAAATCTGCAAAATATTTTACCACGTTGAATCTAAAAAATGGATATTGGCAAGTACCACTTTCCGAAGCAAGCAAACCCTTGACCGCTTTCATAGCACCAGGAAAAGGACTATTCCAGTTCAAAGTACTTCCATTCGGATTACACGCCGCCTCCGCTACTTTTCAACGATTACTAGATACAATAATCGGCCCAGAAATGGAACCACATGCATTCGCCTATTTAGACGACATAATAGTACTGGGGAAAACGTTCGAGGAACATATGGAAAACTTAAAAGAAGTACTTCACAGACTACAGCAGGCCAAACTACGAATTAATATAGACAAATGTAAATTCTGCAAAGAAGAGATAAATTATTTAGGCCATGTAGTAAACAAGACGGGAATAAAAGTGGACGAAAACAAGACAAAAGCTATAGTCGAATATCCCGCGCCAAAAACCGTTAAACAACTACGCCGATTTTTGGGCATCATCTCATGGTATAGGAGATTTATAAAAGATTTTTCACGAACTACAGCCCCTTTAACAAAGCTACTAAAGAAAAAACAACATTGGACTTGGGACAGAGACCAAGAGGAAGCATTCAACAAAATAAAAGTACTACTGACACAAGCCCCAATACTGATCTGCCCGGACTTCCAGAAAAGATTTTTTTTACAATCGGACGCTTCGAACCACGGTTTAGGAGTAGCTTTAGTACAAACAAACGACGAAGGACAGGAACAAGTCATCGCTTACGCAAGTCGAAACCTAACAAAGGCTGAAAAAAATTACAGCGTGACAGAAAAAGAACTACTAGCGATCATCTTCGGTGTAGAAAAGATGAAACCCTACATCGAAGGATACCCCTTTTCAATTATCACAGATCATCAAAGTCTACGATACTTACAAACAATGGAAAACCCTACAGGTAGAATAGCTAGATGGGCAATGCTGCTGCAACAATTTGACTTCGATGTCATTTACAGAAAGGGCTCCCAGAACGTCCTGGCCGACGCGCTCTCTAGAGAACCAGTAGATCTGGTTTGCATAATAAACGTAGAAGATGTAGAACCCGACGAATGGTACAATAAAGCTTTAAATAAAATCCAGACAAATCCGCAACTATTTCCAGACTACTCTATCAAAGATGGACTTCTCTATCGACACTTCTGGGACAAATACGATTTAAAGGAGACAGAGGTATCAAACCCTTGGAAACTATGCATCCCAAACCACAAGAGACAACAACTCCTGGCAGAAAACCACGAGCAACCGACCGCAGGACATCTAGGAATAGCTAAAACAATAACCCGCCTAGCTAGAAAATACTACTGGCCAGGGATGTTTAAAGACGCCGCAAAGTTCGTCAGGAACTGCAAGAACTGTCAGCAATTTAAGCCGCAACAAAGCTTAACTCCAGGCCGCATGCAATCTACACAAATTCCCCCACATCCATGGCACACCGTTTCAACCGACATCATAGGACCCCTTCCAACATCCAGCAAAGGAAACAAATATATAATGACATTCCAGGACACCTTTTCAAAATGGGTCGAAGCCATACCGATCAGAACAGCAACGGCAAAATCAGTCTGTCAGAACTTAAAAGATAAAATCATTATGAGATTCGGATCACCCAAAGAGCTAATATCAGACAACGCAAGAACATACGATAACAGGGAAGTACGAAAGCTGCTAGACGAATTCCAGATTTCTAAAAGAAACATTCCGCCATATTCACCCCAGAATAATCCAGTAGAAAGAACAAACAGAGTAATCAAAACAATGATAGCTCAGTTCTGCGATAATAACCATAAGAAATGGGACACGAGCCTTCCAGAACTACTATTCGCATATAATACAGCTAAACACTATTCAACGGGTTTCTCCCCAGCCTTCCTGAACTTTGGACACGAACTAGAAATTCCAAGTAAAGTCGTAAAAACCCCAAACGACACACAACATACCGATCAAAACATAAAATGGCATAAACTACGAGAAACATTCGAACTAGTACGTACAAACCTGGCAAAAGCTTTTACAACTCAAAGCCATTACTACAACTTACGACGAAGAGAGTGGAAACCCACAATAAACGACAAAGTCATGAAAAGGGAATACCAACTCTCAAATGCCGCCAAAAATTTTAACGCCAAATTAGCACCGAAATTTTCAGGCCCATATACTATAACAAAAGTGTGTACTAATGTAATATTTAGATTAAAACACGACGATAAAAACCGTACCATAACAGCTCATATCAAAGACCTAAAACCCGCATTTACCGATTTTCCTACTCCTTAATCAGTCCAAGCACTTACAGTCAACACCAAGTAGTGACAGTATATGTTAATACAGTTTACCAGTAACCTTCGAATATAATGTCAGACACGTTAGAAATATATTACAGTGACATAGAAATGGACGGCACAGTTACGCCGCCACCATACACCGTTCCGGAGTTAATATCACCATTGGGGAACACACCAAAACCTAACACCCCGGGCAAAGGCTGCGAGCCCCTGATAAAGGCTATTTCCAAATTTAAAAACCTTTTCGATGAACCAACCATGGGCATCACAAAAATTCAGAAAGTCCAGTCAATTCCAGTGTCAATCCCGCTGATCTCACTAATTCCGCCGCAGCATAAAGGAAAAAAATACAGACTGAGACTCCCGAACCAAGTGCTGAGGATAAAAACCAATAACTGAAGCCCCACGAAGGAAGACGTTTTTTTTTTAAGAGAGAGGAAGACGATTTTTTTTAAGAAGACGATATTTATTTTTTTTAGGGCGGACATTTTTTATTCCATGTATTGTAAATTTTTTTTTAGGGTAACCAAGTACCTGGCAAGGAATAAAAATAAAAAAATTTTGTTCCAAAATTATTTTTTCCCAGGAAGAGGGGGTGTAACGATGAGTCCAAGCCATCACCGTTAAACCAGCGTGCGCGCGAACCAACCCATGAAGTAGGAGTGTATCGACAGTAGAAAGGGCAAAACTTCGCTATATAAACCGCAACATTTCCTACTAGAGGCAGAATCGACAGGTGTTGACTGAAGGTTCTCTTCTTCCCTACCCCGGCTTGTGGACGTGTTGAGTTCACAAGTTGTTCCATACCGCCGTTACCCGGAGAGCGTGTTGAGCTCTCCATTACCCGTACTCCGAAGCAGTCGTGTTGAGACTGTCGAGGAGTGTTCTATTAACCCGAATCACTTAAGGGACGTGTTGAGTTCGTTTCTTTTCTTTGTACCTATCGTCCGCTGTTATTACAACGTTCACGTAAAATTTCAAAAACACACTCGCTTGTCGATAAGACTAACTTCATACGACAAGGTCAAACTTAATTTGAATAAATAGGCCAGGTACTGAGAAGACTAAACTAAATTGTAAATATGTACATAAGATTTTTGTCAATTTAATTTAAGGAAGACAATAAAGTTTTATTTGTATTTTGAACTCTGTCTCTGACTGTCCAAAAGCTACCCGGATAGTGACTCCTACGAGAGGACGTCACAAACGGACCTTCACGTCGGTGCAGACTTACGCTAGTCGGGTTTTGTTTAATTCCACCAAAAATTCTTTAAAACAGCATTGTTTGTGCTTACAGTCTAATAATCATTGATTATAAGTTAAAAAAATAACCTCTAGCAACACCGGTAAATATAGCTACCACTGATCCTTAAAATAGTATGTTTTATTTCACATTATACAAAACCTATTAAGGAGTAAGTGAGTTAATTAGTATAATAATAGACAACGCGAAAAACTCGGGTTCGTTCGTAAAAATATTCTCATGAGATTTTTTTGCATAATCACTTTCATAAGATACCCAAAATAAGGTACAAGAGGTCATGTAATCAAAAAGTTGTTTAAATTCTTTTTCAATAATTTTTTTCGGTACGGACAATTTGTTTTTTTAAACTTTTTTGGACCCGAGCTTTTCGCCTTGTCTATAAGAACTTATAAATATTTGTAATTCGTTAAAAAAATTATATTTAGTAAAGGAGATTACCGTAGCCACTTCATTCAGATCTCTACAAACACGAGCCATGTAATTAGATGCACCGAAAAGCTTCTTCTTATCAAATTCCCAACGTTGACCTTTTCCGGAATCTTCAATTTTTTGCCGAGTTTTTAAATAGGCGGTTTGCCACGTTTCTAACATTTCCCTTGCATCATTGGTTAATTTTCTTACCGTATCAATGGGATGTCTGGACAAAATTTATTTGTATATTAGTCTTTAAATAAAAAGATGCAGTAAAATCATACAATTCATAGAACTAAAGCATATATATATATATATATATATATAATATATATATATATATATATATATATATATATATATATATATATATAGGGAGGAAAAGACAGTTAAGATTTAATTTCACGTATAGTGCGTCAATGTAGCCGCTTATAGAATAGACGCAAATAGCGGCATCTGATATTAAAGTCCGTAAACTAATTTTCGAAACCAAATTCAGATTTTTGCTTTAATCTGTGGCTTCTAAGAATTGCAAGGCAAAACATACGTTGATAAAGATGTTATTAGAGACATGGGGAATCTAAAATTTGCATTCCACGTCATATCTCCTTAACTAAGCAAAAATTCTTAGCGAATTGGTTTCTTGTACTCGTTCAGAGTAATCGAAATAAAAAGGAAAAGACAATTAGAATTAGTTTCAGGTATAGTGCGTCAATGTAGCCGCTTATACGTATTTCTTCCTAATAAGTAAGTACAGTGAGTAAGGCCTAATAGGCCTCGCCAGAACGGCAAAAATAAATCTCTTATGTCTTAGGAAGTTAGGAAGCAACTCTAACATGGCTTCTAATGGACGCAAATAGCGTCATCTGATATTAAAATCCGTAAACTAATTTATATATATATATATATATATATATATATATATATTATATATATATATATTATATATATATATATATATATACATATAATGTATGTATTGTGTGTATATAATAATATATAATATTTACCTGAATAACATTTCATTGTTTAGCGCATTTCTGACCTTTTCTAATAGACACCATACTATTCTCTCCATAAACGGAACCATAACTTCGTCAGTATTATAGTATCCTGATAGTACCCAGATAAGTTGAAGGCCTTCCATTAATTGGGGTATAGATTCCGTGACTTTTTGAAAGTCGTTACTATGAGTTAGCAGCTAAATGATAAGAGAATAGGATTAAATAAGAACCTCAATTTCAGTCATTTAATTAAAACTGAATAAAATCAAAAAGCTGTCAAGCAAAAAGTTATCAAAAAACTTTAGGTATTTTTCCATCTCTGTTAATTTTTTTTCTGTCTGGAGAGGAAGATTATTTAAGATTTCGTGATCTTTAAAGATTAATTATTAAGTTGGGATGTTTCTATTATTAATAAATTCGTTGGCACCTGTATCATTGAAGTGGAGCTCGTGACGTTACTGATGTATATACATGACATAAGACCATTATTATTTATTATATCACAAAGCATTTGCCTACTTTTGTGTGTTGAAATTAATTGAAATGTATAAAAAGGTGTACCACTACTAGAAAAGAAAAACTAAAAATCCTCCTCCTCAGTCCTAATCCCTTTTGGGATATGGTGACATCATCAGGCCTTTACAGTTTTTTCAGGATTTCCCTCCATCCTTCTCTGTCCTGGACTAGTTGTTTGTGTAACCCTTTGTTAATCAATATTTTCGTTTATTGTACCCAACGGCTTGGAGATCTGCCCCAGGTCTCTTTCCTTAAACTCTATCCTCGACTATCATTTTTCCATCGTACCTGTTCTTCAAGCAATGTGTCCAAAATAATGAAAATATCTCTGTTGTATTTGTTTAAGCAATATATCGATGTTTAAGCAAATATCGATACGTTAGTGCGATGATAAATGTAGGATATCCTCAACATGCGGCGGTATACCTACATTTCAAAAGCGTTGAGTTTATTTTTATCCGCTTTCTTTAAGGTTCGCATTTCGGATGCATATGTGGCTATGGGAAAAATTAGGGCCCTTATCAGCCTTAGTTTTATGTGTATTGTTATGCTAGAATTCTTCCAAACTGCTACCAGTTTCATCATATCTGTTCTAGCAATAGTCAATCTTCTACGTATCTCTCTGTCATACCCTCCATCATTTGTTATTAGGAACCCCAGGTATATGAAACTATTTACTACTTCAAAACTCCCAATTTCTTTAATGTGTTGAAGATTATTTCGAGCTCTGTCTACTGTTATGATCTCTGTCTTACTCCTATTTAGCTTTAGTCCATATGTTTTGCTTTTTTTCTCCAGATATCTCATTATGTCTTCCATTTCTTCTTGGTTTACCGCGATTATTAAAGTGTCATCAGCATATCTCAAGTTATTGATTTTTTGACCTCCTACTAATATTCGCCCTTCCATCCGTCTAGTACTTTTCGCATAATGTGTTCGCTGTAGATATTAAACAGAGTTGGCGAGATTATGCATCCCTGTCTGACATCTGCCTCTGTTCTGAAATAATCAGAATGGGTGTTGTTTATTTCTACTGTGCACTTATTATTTTCATAAAGACTTCTAATTAGTTGAATTAAGTGGTGGGGTGTTCCCATCTCCGTTAGTATGGACCATAGCTGCTGCTATTTGACTATCGAAGGCTTTTGTGTAATCCACAAAGCATATAAGCATAGAAGTATTGAGTTCACGAGGTTTTTCGATTAGCTGTCTGACATTAAGGATGTGTTTTTTTCTTGTGCCTTTTCCTGCGATAAATCCCGCTTGTTCTACTGATATCTGTGGCAACAGACAAGCTTTTAGTCTTTACATGAAGTAGAACCTTGCTTGCATGGGATATTAGGTTTACCGTTCTGTAGTTGCTGGAATCTAGCGGAGTTCCTTTTTTGAATATAGGGGTAAAAGTGGATGTTGTTCAGTCGTTGGGCTACTCTCCGGATTCCCAAATGTTTTTGCATATCATATGCATAATATTTACTCTAACATCTCCAGTCACTTTTAAAACTTTTGCCGTGATCTGGTCTGCGCCAGGATATTTTCTATTTTTCAACTTTTTAATTGCTTTTTCTACCTCTGACTTTAAAATGTTTGGTTCTCTCTCTGCAGTGAACTCATCGTGATTTGCATTTTGGGTATCTTCTGCATATAGACTTTGACAATATATTCTCCATACCTCCGCAATTCCTTTCTCGTCATTAATAATATGTTGGTTTTGATCCATTATTGTTTGTATGATTGGTTTAAATTAACTGGATAGATATCGACCTTTGTTATTAGCTCATGGGATTCATTCCGGTTTGCATGCCTCTCTAGTTCTTCGCATTCTTTATTTATATGTTTATTTTTGTCATCCCTACATATTCTTTTGATTTCTCTATCTAACCTTGCTAATTCGTTTTTGTTGCTGTCGTTTTAATATATGAGAGATTTGATTCTCATTCGCTCTTTGAAAAGTTGCAGCGGTCTGTCTGTCATCCAGTTTCATTTGATGGTATTTTTTTCTCAATGAAATATCAATGGCAGCAAACAGTAGTATAGTGCAGTGAACAATGAAACCGTGTGGACAGGTCGATCTAACGTTTTTATTTTAATCCATTGTTCTTCCTAAAGTATGTTCAAATCAGCCAAAATTCCAAATTAATCCTTCTGATTTGATACATCTGCAAATCTTAAAATTGGCATTTCCTTGGTTTCACATACCTGGTTCTATAGATATATTAATTGGTGCAGAGTTTACTCGATTTATTTTATAATCGGCTAGAATTTTTGGAAGTCCAAATCAACCAGCGGCTTCTTAAGAAAAGATTTTTTCTTATGTAACTAATGCGTTAAGAACTCAATTTTATATAGTCGGTGGATAACTGGAAGCATATAATATAAACTTGGCTTTAACTCTTCAATCTGACTTAATGGCAGTTATGAAAAGCCCAACAGCGCCAAGAAAACATAACTGTTGGAAAACCAACTAATTCTTTAACTGTTCCAATTTAACCTAATGTCGCCTCTGTTCCTTAATATCACATGTTAGCCCATATTAGTAAAAATAACCAGACATCGTCAGCGTATTTGACGCCTCCCATACACCCGCTCACTCTTTGTCCCTTTGTCCAAGCTAGTCACATATTAATATGCATAAATTCAGTCGAATTAAGTAGCTCAAGTCAAGAAGTCGCTAAAGAAGTTATTCTTTCTCCTCGTCTCTCTCTCTCTCTCTCTCTCTCTCTCTTACCCGTATCACATAACAAGATATATCACAAGTTATATTTATAAGTTAGTTTAGTGTTGCAAAGTGTATATATGTAAAGTATTGTGCAAGTACAATAAAAAAAGGTGTAAGTGTATAATTTCACCCCCACAAGAGTAATAAAACGAATCAGCAACCCGCGCTTAAATCCTGTAACAAATCAAGACAGGTCACCACGAGCGTTTTGGTGCTCTCAGGGAACGTTGGAAATAACCCCATCGTTTCCCTTTAATAACAATACATGGAGAACAATTTAAAAAAGTTGAGAAATGTAAATATCTGGGTACAATAATTAACGAAAATAATGAGTACACAGAAGAGATTAAGGCAAGAATAGGACAGGTAAGAAATTCTTTTAACAAACTAAAAAATTACTCCGCAGCAGGGACATTTCAATTTCTTTAAAGATAAGATTTTGAGATGCTACGTGTTTTCCGTATTATTTTATGGGTTGGAGGCTTGGACATTAAAGAAAGATGTTTCGGACAGATTGGAAGCCTTCGCGTTATGGGCCAACAGGATTAAATAAGTTGGGATAGTTACGAATGTCGAGATGTTGAGAAGAATGGGAAAAGATAAAGAGGTTTTAAATACAATTAAAGTCAGAAAACTGCAATACCTTGTACATGTCCTATAACTCGTTGCGCTATAACTTGTTGCAATTAATAATGCAAGGAAGGATACAGTGTAGATGAAGTCGCGGAAGAAGACGCATTTCCTAGTAAAACAATTTGAGAACTTGGTTTAACTGCACTTCTGCTGACCTCTTTAAAACAGCGGTATCGAAAGTGCAAATTGCCATGATGGTTGCCAACCTTCTTAGGGTAAGAAAAATGCTGGTAAGATCCCATGATAACATTGGCATGGTTGTCTTCATCACTAAGTTGAGGGAAGACTTTTATAGATAACAAGGTCAATTGAGTGAGATATACAAGAAATTGTCTTTATTTCTAGTTGGCATCATGTGGCGTCTCCACAGAATCCTGGAGATTATGAAAGTAGTGGTCAAAGTTCGTTTCAACTTCTACATACTTCTATGTGGTGGTCAGGCCCTTCATTTCTTTCCGTGGCTAGAATCACCTAGCCTTGTCAGATTACCACTTAATTTTACTCTGATTTATCATTGGAGATCCAGAAAGAGGAAGAACAACTTATTCTTAATATTACAGTCACTAGTGACAATTTTTCTATCGAATTTACTCCATCAATAGTCGCCTTTGTCTAAAATTCAAAGAATTTCAGCTTATGTTTTTAAAAAATTCCAGGTCTAAACAAAGACAACGAAAACGGAGTTCTTACTCCGCAGTAAAAAACGTTTTGATAAAAATTACATCGTTTCTTTAAACTGTCCCACTATTTTTCTAATTTTACCACCTTGTAAACCCAACAATACTAACTTTAGGGCAATAGTGATACATATTGCCGTTCTTATAACTCCATTGTCTATTAAATGTTAATAAAACACAGTAGTGGAAATTTAACCATTTCTATTTCACTAGGAGAATATACCTCTGTATTTCTTCCATTTTGCAATGTGTGGGAGAAATTAACATGAGTACTTTCGAACTAAAGCAGATTAATATACGCACAGACAAGCAGTCACGGAGGTTGCATGGACTCTAAGCTAGTGTGGGAATACTAAGTGAAACTCAAGAGAATGACGGAACATAATATTATCACACTGATAAGAGCTGTGTGGTTATAGGGTTGTGTTATAGAGGTAGTACCTTTTATTGGAACGACCACATCGAGTTTCATATACGGGAGATGGTTCTTGATAACTGGTTTTCATAAGACACCTAACTCTCACTTATGGCTCCACGTGCCACACCCCCGGCAACTGCATTGATCTGCAGGCTAAACTTAGTGAGGGTAGCCAGATATGGCGAAAATTTCACCGAGTTATTGCCGGTATAAGCAGTCCCCCACTTACTGACCAATGGCTTCGGGCCTAGGATTTGGGAAGTGGTATGGCACCTTTTTGTTCTGGGATTGAGAAAGCAACCCCGAAGGCGGATGTACCAAAATTTAGCCAACGGCATAAAGATGTAGAAGGTAAGGGGACACCACTACATTAAAGATCCCTACGGATATCCCTGGAATAATTATCTTATATGTCGGACAAAATTTAAGCAAAGGTTCTCAGTCCCGGGCAGACCTTAGATGGTCCGAGGGTGCTAAAAATCCCCCGGGTTTGACTTCAAGATGTTATTCATAAATTAGCGACATGAAACGTTAATAGTTTGTGCATCCGAGGAAAGTTACATAATCTGCTCAATGAAATGCGGTGCCTAGAAGTGAAAGCAATGGGTGTAAGTGAATTAAGGTGGTCTGGCTTAGGTATTTCTCACAAACACAGCTTTACAGTGTACTATTCCGGTAGCGACGCCACAGATAATCATCACAGGCATGGAGTTGCAATAGTGCTTGATAATAGAATTGCGATGTATGTTATAGATTACATACCCGTTTCAAACAGAGTAATCATAGAAAGTTAGCCGGTCAACCTATTAATATAAATCTAATCCAACTCTACGCACCCACATCTGATAAACCGGAAACTGAAGTTTTAGATTTCTATAAAGACATAAAGGAAGCATTGAAGGTCACAAATAAAAACGATATCAACATCATAATGAGCGATTTTAATACTAAAGTCGGTAGGGGTAGATGTAGTAATGCGGAAGGTGATTTCGGTCTGGGTAACAAAAATGAGCGAGGAGAGTTACTAATTGAACTTTGTAATGACCACGATTTCGTCATATGCAATACGTGGTATCAACTCCCACCAAGAAGATTGTATACATGGCGAGCACCAGGAGATCGTCCGGGCCATATGATACGAAATCAAATTGATTACATCTTGATAAACCAAAAATTCCGCAACTGTATAAAAAAAGTGGCCGCTTACCCTGGTACGAACATCTCGTCTGATCACAACCTCCTAATCGCGAATGTAAGGCTTCGATTGGCAAAGGTTAAAAAGCCATATAATAAGAAATACACAAACACTAGAGAATTATTGAGAGATGAAGAGCTTAGATCTACATACAGTAAGTACATCAACGAGAACTTGACAAATATATAAGGAAATTGCATAGAGGAAACCTGTTAGAAAATAAAAATTATAGTCGCGGCTGATGAAGTAGTCGCAAGTAAAATAAAAAGAAATCACAAAAACGAGTGGATGAAGGAAGAGATACTTGATCGAATGGAGCAACGCAGACAATACCAAATACATCAGAATCAAGAGGAATACACGGAAATCCAACGTACGATAAGAGCAAGAATTAAAAACGCAAAGTGAAGCTGAATGAAAGAACGATGTGAAGAATTGGATCACTACAAGAAAAGGGAGACAGCTTTGGACTACTTAAAAAGGTCAAAGAAATTTCGAGTATATACAAGAAACACCATGAGACTCGCCTGAAGAATGATCAAGGAAACTACGTTCATACACAGGAAGAACTAGCTAAAATCTGGGCAAACTATGCTTCGTCCCTCTTTGCGGATAATAGACCGAATCTGCCAACTACTAACTTACCCACGGAAAATTTATCCGGCCCTCCTATTATTCGCGTCGAGGTGGAGTACGCTATAAAAGTAGCAAAACTAGGCAACGCCCCTGGACCGGATGGAATTACTAAGGAAGCCACAAAACTGTTGGAAGATGATAACATCGACATGCTGGTAACAATTTTCAATGCCATATATAACACCGGCAACATTCCAACGGATTGGCTTTATTCAACCTTTATAATGATCTCTAAATCACAAAGAGCGACAAAATGCAAAGACCACAGACTGATAAGTTTAATAAGCCATCTTCTTAAGGTGTTTCTTCGCATCCTTCACACAAGAATGTTCAGAAAGCTGGAAGATCTAAGCGGTAAGACACAATTTGGTTTCAAGAGCGGACTAGGTACACGTGAAGCAGTTTTCTGCTTGAATACGCTTGTACAAAACTGCATAGATCAACGAAAGGATGTAGTCATAACATTCCTCGATTATGAAAAAGCGTTTGAGATCGTAAAACATGACGCAATGATAAAAATGCTACACAACGCTAACATTGACGAGAAAGATATAAGAGTTATCCAGAATCTCTATTGGAATCAAAAAGCACGAGTGAGACTGAACAAATCAACCAACACAGAAGAATTTTAAATTTTAAGAGTGGTGCGACAGGGGTGTATTTTGTCTCCTACGCTCTTCAATCTCTATGTAGAGAATATTTTTGCAGAGGCACTGGAAGGCTCTGAGTGTGGAATAAAGGTCAACGGGTTCCCGATAAATAACATTCGTTACGCCGACGACACCGCGGTAATAACAGACAACGAACATGATATGCAGTTAATGTTAAATAAAATAAACACCGTAGGAAAAATATATGGCTTGAAGATAAATGCTGGAAAAACTAAATGCATGGCAATAAGGAAAAACGCACTTTTAAAAATACAACTGCAAGTAGATGGTGCTCCAATCGATCAAGTGGAAACATTTAAATACTTGGGAATGATGATGAATGACCAATGGGATTCTCAACAAGAAATAAAATGCCTTACCGAATAAGCAAGACAAGTTTTTATCAAATTTAAACCGGTACTATGTAACCGCAATCTTTTTTTCAATCTCCGCTACAGGATGGTTAAATGCTATGTATGGTCCATATTGTTATATGGCATGGAAACATGGACGTTAAGAGTACCTTTCATTAATAAGTTGGAGGCCTCCGAAATGTGGACGTTGTCAAGAATGTTCCGCATACCATGGACAGATAGGGTAAGCAACGAGGAAGTCTTAAGAAAGGCAAATACTGGGAGAGAACTACTCAATTTTATCAAGGTACAAAAAATTGGATACCTCGGCCATATTCTGAGAGGAAAAAAATACGAGGGGGAAAAAAAGAGAAGTAGGTCGCAAACAAATGTCGTGGCTACGGAACATAAAAAACTGGATAAGCATAAATAACACTGGCGATCTTTTGCATGCAACAAAAGACAGACGTCTGGCCTTAAGATAATTCGCCAACGCACTATTGGTGCACGGCACTATAAGAAGAGAAGAAGGTAAGAGCTGGTGAACTTTTTAGAAGACCAATAACTACATAATATTTAGATTTAGAGCCGGCTGCGGCAATATAACTACAACTGGAAAATATACCCTGTCAAGTATATCGCAAAATATCATATTTGGTAGGCATGTGCTTATATTGCTAAAGTACTGCGGAAAACATGCAAGAATATGTTTAGACCCATATATTTACTAGGTGTCCTTACGGGACATACACTAGTTAAGGTACATCTGCATACAATTGGACCATTTCATGGGAACTACAGACCCTGTAGAAGAGAGCCTAAAACAGTAAAAAATATATTGTATTACTGCGAGACATTTGATAGTAGGCAGTAAACGCTTTTCGGAGACTCTCGAGTGACTCCAAATAAATGTTTTATTCATCCTATAGATCTATACAACCTGGTATAGGGTTTCAGAAATCTGGAATGAGTATTATGATTGAATAGAAGATGAATAAAGAAACAAAAAACCAACTGGCTGTAGTACAACAGCTTCACAAACTACGGTATAAAAAAACAATCTCGTTAATAAAATTAGTTGTTGCTGCGGTTAATTGCAATAAAAAATAAAAAGAATTTATATAAAGAGCAAATGATTGTTTTCTATTACGTTAAATCTAAAACTTAGCATTTTCTTTTACGTAATATAATTCCCAAAACATACTTGGGAATATAACCCGAATACTTAAAATAACATTGTAAAAAGCAACTTTAATACTTTACCTTAAGAAATCTAAAAATAGTTGACAGGAATTTAAAATTATCTTTAGCCGTACTATAATGTCGCTTTAGGTTTATTTGATACTGGAGAAAGCTATCGATTGCTGGAGACTTCGCTTTTTCAAGAATATTACAAATTCTCACTAAAAGAGGTTTTTTTAACTGCTCCACTATAGAACTTAGCGCTGCCTCTCGATCATGCCAATATTCATATTCGGGTAAGGGTCCTTTTCCCACAGGAGTCTAAAAATATTTTTATTCAGTTTATCTCAGACCTAAAATATATGTATAAACAAATTACTAAGAAAATATAAAACCAAAGGCAGTGATCCACCGAAGGTAATCTTTGTCATAAATAATCTTTTGTATAAATATAACAAGTGGATAGTGCGGGTACAATGAATAGAAGTTAACGATGGTTTTTTCCTATAAGCCATAAAGTGTTCCGTAATCCGGGTTTGCGCTATGAACAGGACAATTAAAATAGTTAATAAGTAAGTGGTTTTTCGGAATCTGTAAATACCCAGTAGAAATTAACTGTTCTTGTAGAAATAATATGAATTAGGAAAGTTTGTAGGTATTTCTGATTTTATGTGGAGAGTGATATGCAAATTTATGATTGGCCGAGAATTTAGAAAGTGGTGAGATGGATGGGTATATTGAGAGGTTGGATGGATGGATAGATGAAATGAGATAGTTAATTAGTTCCAGTTTCTTAAAATGAATGGTTGGTTTTCGAGGTGGTCTCCAGGGGTAGTAAGTGATAAAGAATAAGTTGTGTGTTGGTGAAGTGTGTCCGACGGTAGCTGATCTGGTACAAATTTGTAAGTAAACTTTTCCTACTTGTATTCTACGTATCGCTGTTTATTTCGGTACTAGAGTTTAAGTTTGGCGAGAGAAAAAGAGGCTATCATCATTGGAAAGGTACGTGCATTCGAAGGAGAGCATTGAGGACACTAAATTGCAATATCTTGTTTAATATTGACAATTACGTAGGAGGCTGCTGAGAACTGATAGTTTATTTTGCATAGAACGAGGAATTGGACAACTCAAGGCAGAGGAAGCGTTTCAACGGGAGACACATTCATAAATAATTTTAATTTGAGAATTTTGGGTCAAATAATATTATATCATATTAGTAACGTGTGAATAAGTTGTCGATAGTCGAAGGAGATCAAATTTGTTCTGAGAGAGGACGGAGCTGTGGAGAGAATTGGATAATTCATACAAATTTTTCTTGGTACAATCGATATACCAAAATTGCATTAGAAAGGACACTAAATATTACTTGATTTGTTTATGTAGAACAATAAGCTCGATTTTAGATTGTAATTGTATTATATTATCCATGCATTATTGAAGGTTCACGTACGTAGAACGATTTTTGTTTGATAAACATTGTACGCTAATAATTTTTGGAGGTATTTTAATCAGTTTATTTTATTACATTATTTTCATATCATATTATGTTGTTTTATTCCGTTATTCTTTGGACCTAACCCATCAGCTGTAAAGTATAGATATTAAAGCACGAGTATAACCTGAGATAACAAAATTGAGAGGTGTGATATAAATCATAAATCAAAAATTTAAATAATTTTTTATATTTTTTTTTTTGTAAAGTTTTAAAATTAAAATTCTTGGTATCACGTTATTATATATATATATATATATATATATATATATATATATATATATATATATACATATGTATTAACATCATCATCATCATCACACAGCCCTTTGTGTGACATAGGGTCCAACGAGTAGAGGTCTTCCTTTACTTCTTTTGTCTAACCTCGACCTCCACTCAAGCAATCTCTTCGGCCACCTTTCATCACTTGTCGGGCGACGTGTCCGTCTTAGTTCCATTTCAATGTGACAATTCGGGAAATTACATCGGTATCTCCTGTTCTTCGTTTTAAGTATTTATTTCTAACTCAGCCACGAAGCGATATAATCATCATTGACCTTTCCATTTTCCTTTCAGCTATTTGCAGCGTTTTAGAAGTTGTAGCTGTCAATGTCAAAGTTTTGGCACCATAGGTTATCACACAAAAAGAAAGAAATTAGTATATCGCTTTTGAAGATTTCTTTGAGTTTATAGGCTGCCCATGCTAGGTTTATTCTTATTTGTAGTTCGCATGTTTGGTTCTCTCTTGTGATCTTTATTTTGTATCCAAGGTATACGTATTTTTCCACCAGTTGTACTTCGTTGTCTTCAATATTGATATTTCCGCTAGGTACTAGGTTTGTCTTTGGAGATGTTTATTTAAGACCCACACTGGCACACACTTACTGAAGTTTACGTAACATTGTACATATCTCCTTGAAGTTTTCCGAGAATAAACCTATGTCGTCTGCGAATTTCAAATTTGTTAATCTTCTACCATCAATTTTTTCAGGCCTTCTCTTCCCAGTTAAATTTTTTACAAGCACATTCCAGTACTGCAGTAAACAGTTTAGGCGATAAGGTATCACTTTGTCGGATTCCTCTGTCGATTGGGATATAATCCGTGTTAGTTGCGTTCTTGTATGTATTGTAAATTAACTTTATATATCAGTAGTGCATGCGACATGCTTATAGTGCTTCTCGGATTTGGTCAAATTCTACCGTGTCAAAGACTTTATGGAAATCTACAAAAGCCAGAACCAGTGGTCGATTGTATTCGATAGTATTTTCTATTGCCATTTTAATTCTATGTAGGTGATCATTTGTTCCAAATCCGATACAAAATCCTGCTTACTCTATTGGCTGGTAGAAATCAAGTTTTTTTCTTGAGACTATTCGTTATTATTCTTGTAAGGAGTTTGTACAGGTGACTAAGAAGACTTATAGATCTGTAGTTTTCTAATTCATGGGATCTTCTTTTTTTGTACAATAGAATTACCTCAGCATTGTGCCATTTGTAAGGTATATTATTGTACAAAGGCAAGTGCCTCTGATTTTGATTGCAAATGTAACTGCACTGAGTGCTTTGTCTGTCTTTATTAGATAATTATCTCTAAATGAAGCCAAATGTCCGTTTTAAACATCTAAATCTTTGTATCTTCGAATATGAACATTAGTAACTGATAAGTTTGTGTGTATATTTTTTTTTTGTTAAATTAGATGAAGTAGCCGACTTTCTTTTTTTTTATTTTGCTAATCTTAATGACCGATTAAACCTCAACATTCACTAGTTAAATACTATAACTTTTGGCTACGTCATGTCTTCAGTTGATTGTTGTTGATAATTGCGAGAAAAAATTCTTTATTTTGTTTTTGTAGTCAAATCTATCATTCCTTAATTTTGAATAAATAAATGAACATTTTAACTTACCTTATAAGTTCCGTATGAATAATTAAATAAATGATCTTCTTCTTAAGGTGCCGTGCATTTCTGCGTAGGCGTCCACCGTACATCGTCTTGTCAGGTGAGATGTTAAATAGTCAGGATTAAATAATTTTTTATTTTTAGCAGCATTGCAAAGCATTTCATAGCTGTGGATTCCTGTCCATTGTCGAATATTGCGCAGCCATGACATTTTTTTACGTCCCAGACCTCTCCTACCTTCTATCTTCCCTTCGAGTATCAGTTGCTGAAAAGTGCATCTTTCTCCTCGTAATATGTGCCCCAAGTATGCAGTCTTCTTACTTTTTACATAACTAAAAAGTTCCCTATCCTGTAAGCCCGCTCTTTGTATCGGAGCATCTTTAAGCATCTTTAAGCATCTTGTATCGGAGGTTGAAGTCCAATTTGCGATCAGTCAGAAACTTCCGAATCCTCAAAAAAGCATTTCTGGCTTGTTCAACTCTTCCCTTTATTTCATTCTCGGGGTCCCAACCCTCGTTCAGCAAACAGTCCAAGTATTTAAATTAACTGACCTGTTCGATTTCTTCTCCAGAGACATATATCTTTGCGTTGGGGCAATCATTTCTACTGATAATCGTTGGTTTTGTCTTCTTGATATTTATTTTCAAACTCCGAGCTTCACTTGCAAGAGTTAGATCATTTAAAACACATCGAAGATCTTCGATGTTATCTGCCACTAGGGCTGTATCATCGGCATACCTGATGTTATTAATAAATATGCCGTTAACTTTAATACCCTTATTTGAGTCTGCCACTGCTTCTGCGGAGGCTTTTACTACGTATAGATTAAACAGCATTGGAGGTAGTATTCAACCTTGCCTTACTCTTTTTTTAATGGAGAAATCTTCTGTTTCGTTGAAATTTGGAAG